ATTTTTAATATAAAAATAGTTAATAAATTGAAGCAAGATATTTTTATTCATTTGAGGTACATGCATAGTTACCTGGGCATCAATGTGTAGCAAGTGACTCATTTTTAAGGACACTTTGCAAACAATAAACTAATATCCTTGCTGTAAATTGATTGAATTGTACCCTCCAAATTTCATATATTGGAAACTTCCAATGGGGAGGGGGTATTGTGAAAATTAAACAGCTTACTTTTTATAAAGAGCTTAAAACCTCACCTGGCACACTCGTAAGCTTCCTGGAAGTATTAGCCATTTTCAGAAAGCCAAAGAAAATCCTTAGCCAAGTTTAGGCTCCCCTTCGTGGAGACTCAGCACGCAGCCACAGTACTGAACTGCTGACTACAACAAAATAATTGCCTCTTGAATGCAAACTCAAGGATCACATTTATTAATATCAGAAACTTTGGGACACACTCAAAAATGATCAACTATATTTCTAGACTATTAAATTCAGTTCCTTAGAGACCCAGAAGAGCATTCTAATAGGGGCTTCCAGGTCCTTTGATTAGAACAGCATAAAGGTGGGTTGAAAAAATAAAACCTCCTATGATCCTGCTTTACCTCACTGATGAAGGGCTGGTTGACTTCAAAGTCAGGCCATGTTTGGCAAAAGCTTTGGTCAGAATGGATATGGCCTATAGCGATGTATGTTGAGATAGAATCCTCACAAGTGTGCTTTAAAATGATGGATTTTAACTCTTCAGGTGCTTTTGAACCGCTGACCCATTATTTCCAAAGGCCGAGTGTTCTGACTCACGAGGCAGTCCATGGCATGCTTACAGTGATTATTAGAAAGTTCTCTATGCTAAACTAAACTTCATTTCTTTATTCATGTGCTCTTTAGGGTTTCACAGAATTTGGAGTCATCTGTATACCTGACAGTACTTAGAATACTTAAGGCCAGTTAGAGTAGATCTTCCTAAGGGTTACGTACTTAAGTCTGCTTGTGAGGTAAAACTTTCTTATAATCAAATTTATTCTTGAAAATCTCCTAAATCCCTCACAGAGTAAGGCCCTAATAAAGCCGATTTTACTTCTAGGATTGGAATTGCTGGGGTTTTTTGGCTGAGCTGCAGAGGAAGTGGTTGGCTGGCATTTAAGAGCCATGTGTATGAAAAATACTTACCTTTATTCACTTAGTATGAATGCTTGCTGTTGGCTGAATTATGAAATGCTATGAAGAGCACCATTAAGAGACCCACTGATGGAGGACCCTCAAGATGCCTGGCACTGTGCAAGGGTGGGGCAACTGTCACACATTCCTCACCAACACATGAATGTGGGAAAACAGACAATTTGTTAACAGAATAGGAAGCCACTTTCTGAGAAGAAACTGACACTTAAAGAGAAGATTAAGAAGAAAAAAGTATGGTGATATGAAAGTGCTGTTCTTCAGGGGGAAAAGCAGGTAGTAATATAAAACCCTACTGCTATATCTCGAGAAACAAGTTCACATAGTCATCTTCTAGCTCTCTAATATGAAGTATTTTATGAAGATTTGACTGATCATTGAAGGAACACTGCAAATCCCCAGAGTAATTTTGGGATTAACCATACAAGGAACTCCAATTAATGCTATTTAGTTAACAAAATAAGTTTTCACTAAGAAAAATCTCAAAGATATCTTTAAGTGAACTGCTCAATGAATCCTTTTAAGATATATAATTCCAGGGAAAGGAGTCATTCTAGAAACAAATTTCTTATCTAGTCCTTCAGTTATACTAAAAAAAATTTTTTTTTCCCCTTTTTTGTCTTTTTTACTGACCGGTAACGGGATTGCAACCCTCGGTGTTGCGCCCGCACCACGCTCAGCCAGTGAGCGGGAACCGGTCTCCACATGGGATCCGAACCCTCGGCGGGAGTGCCACCACGCTCCCAAGTGGCGCACTTTCCAGTGCGCCACCAGGCCGGCCCCTAAAAAATATTTTATGGATTGACATTAAACAACAAAACCCCAATAACAATCATATTGGGATCTCCCTAGGAAGGAGCAATAGTGGACAATTACACCAAGGATTCAGTTACACCAAGGATTCAGTTACACCAAGGATTCCCACATCCCTTTGTCATTGGATAGAGATCTCCCTAGGAAGGAGCAATAGTGGACAATTACACCAAGGATTCAGTTACACCAAGGATTCCCACATCCCTTTGTCATTGGATAGAAATGAATTTTGTTAAATTATAGATCAAAGGCAGCCTTGACAAGGAAATAGATTCATTAACATCCAATGACTAGTGGTTGTTGAAGAAGATGGAAAAAGGCATTTCCAAACTCCTCTTGAGGTCAGCTTTGGGTACAGAGAGTTTATGGCAGAAGGTATCTGCATGACCCATACAGTTTTTTCCAAAGGTAGTGGTGGAGGTACTACCTTCTCTCCAAGTTGATTCCTCCATCACTGGTACCAAACTACAGCAGTTTTCCCCAAAATCTGGCAATTCAAAGTGCAGAAAAGATGATGTTGTGGAAAATCAATGATTCTTAAGATCTTACTAAATGCCATTTACTCGGTGACTCTAAACAGCTGTCAACCTTCATTCTCTTATCTGTGAATTAGGGGTATATGGCCCATAACCTCAAGGCATAGAAAAGCAGTCAAATAAATTTAAACTTCAAAAACCATGTTAGAAACCGTACAACACCGTACATGTAAAAAGTCTAAAGGACTACAAAAATTTACACAGTTTGGCAAACAATTCTAGTGTGAACTTTTTATTTTGACAAAACAAATTTTACGAACAGATTTTATATTCTCAAACTCCCAAACTTTCACTCCTTTAAAAAATGACAGACAAGGCGTCCTAGACTCCAAGATTTCACACATGAATAAAATAGTACCAGATTTTCAAGTTATTTAAGTTAGCTGCACTTTACATACCATGAAAGTTAAGATAATTGTGACATTCACCAGTTTCAAGTGTTCCTATAAGAAACACAAGGACATACTTGGGTTTTTTAACCACATGGTCTCATATCAATAAACATGTAAGTATCTGGCATATATATTTCCATTAAGCACAACTTTATGAGTAGCAAATAACACAAGTCATTTGCTTCTTAATCTCAATTTGGAAATTGAAAAATAAGAGGAATGTAGAGTTAAGTAGCTGAAAATGCTCCACTTACTGCAAAAAGCACATGACAAGGAATGCTAGAAGTAGTTCCCGTCAGGAATGATGTTTGAAAATTTAAAGTACTATTTTACTGGAAAGGGCAAAGTATCTAGTGTGAAAAGCAAGTTAAATGATGTACTGACTCAATCTCTAAAGATTTAGCAAATTATAGATTTTGTGCAATTAGTTACCAACATATACATTTAAGAGATCAATACTGATTGTTCAACAGAAATTTCAGCTGGTTCTGAAGTGTCTACTCTACAGTTACTTTAGCTTTACATGTCTATAAAATTTACGATTCTTCAATGGGAAGTTATAGCTTATTCTGCACTAGACACAGGTAACGTGTATAGATTCAGAACAAATGAATGCTTTCGCGTTCAGAACTTATTCTTAATTCATCCAAAATTAGACTGATTTTTCACCCATATGTATGGATAAAAGTGCTTCTCAAATGTATATGGTCCATTTCCATAATCTTAAAACAAAAGTAAAGGCACAAAATGGATAATAGTTTGTATACTTTGTGACTATTCTTCATCCATCTTTAAACGAATTCAATTACCATCTAGAGAGAGATATGACAAACTTGTTATAAATTTCTATGACTTGGAAAATTAAACATCTAAGGACCCTAAATGCTGCAGCTCTGTGCAGTTCATACATGGGTTCATTCACTTTTGCAGGCTGTAGGAATTTAGGTTTCAGCAGTCATGAGACCAAAAAGACTACAGTAGAAGGACTTACTCATATTAGTCCCCCAAAAAACTTGTTTCTAATCTTGTCACCAACCGATTTAATATGCTTGTGAGTTAAATTTTAAATTAATTATAAAGCCATTTACTCTAACATCAATGAAATGTAATTAAGAACCACACTTAAAACAAGTCTTTAATTTTAGTGAGTGATATTTTTCACTTATACACAAAGAAATTCAATAGCCAGCAGCATTTAAATGTAGAAAACAGTCCCACCACTTTCTTCTCTTTTTTTATAAAGTGCCATTTTTAACTGGGTAGATTTACTACCCAGCTTTTCAGTAACTACACCATATGTATCTAATATATTCAAGGAAACACTGGAAAATCAAAAGGACTTAGCACTTTAAACTTCTGCAAAAGGTTGGTACAAAGCCTAGAGGCCACAAGGTACTAGAAAAATAAAAAGTCTCTCTTACATGAGAATCTTTAAGTTCGTTTAATAATTACTTCACAGAAGCACAGGCTCACTAATATTTATGTCAATTTTTGCTGTCTAAACTAGAAACAGTTTCTGTAGGTAATTCAGCTCTAAGCACCATTAAATAAAGTTATGCCAAATAGAACCAATGGTTACCTGATCCCCAGAATAAAAACCCCTGCAAATTTAGACTTTTAGAATAGTAAGTTAGTGAGAATCAGAACGACAGGCAATATTTTGTTTAAAAGTACCATAGGCTGCTAAAAGTATTCTTTTCTTTAAATAAAAATTCGTTTAGTATGTACCTTAACAATGAGTGCAGTGGTGTTAAAGATAGGTGAAAACCATACTACAGATTAACTCAAAAGTGACTGTTGCCTACCTGTCTAGTTCAGTGATTAAAACTGAAATTGCTTTTTAAAAATAATAATTGAACTTACATTACAAATAGGGTACCAACAAGATTCCTATTTTTATTCACATTATTCTCTAATTAGTACTTTTGCATTTCTTGACTGTTGCCTACCTGTCTAGTTCAGTGATTAAAACTGAAATTGCTTTTTAAAAATAATAACTGAACTTACATTACAAATAGGGTACCAACAAGATTCCTATTTTTATTCACATTATTCTCTAATTAGTACTTTTGCATTTCTACTCTGACTCGACCTTCAGTAGTACCTCAAAAAGTGAATGCAATTAGTGAAAAAACAGGGCAGCATGTAGTTTTGTTCACTTACAAATACCAATTTCATTAAAATTTGCATTTTTTGTTGTTCTTGGAAGAGTGATCAAGTATAAAAACAGACACTCCTTACAGTACTCCTTACTTTGCATGGCATCCAGTAATGGATAAAGCAAAGGAACCCTAGGTCATCGATTCTGTTCCCCCAATTTAGGTACATTTGTAGTCCTCACAAACAGGGACTCCACGGCAGAGAGGAGCAATGGGGAAAAGAGGCAGAGGTCCTGCGTGATGAATCCCTTAAAAAGAAATCCACTTCTCACAGAATGCAAGCCTGAAGGGAACTCCTCCCCACCCGTTCCAACCCCTCGAATAAGAATGCATAGTTTAGCCTCTCAGTCTTTTCTGGTCTCACTTCTTTAATCAAACCTAACATTCTATTCCTGAAGACAAATAAACCTTAGCGCTTTCTAAAAGAAATTATTTTTACCCAAATACATTGGACTTCGGTCTCAATTTGAATGAAGATGAGTGGCCTTTAAGTGACCGCTCCTCCTCTTCCTCCTCCCCCTCCTCCAGCGGCTGCTCCGGGTCCCTGAAAGAGGGTGTGGTGTGGATGATCTGGGTACGGAAGCGGATTTTGTTGAGTCTTGGTTTTATCCGCCCACTAGAGCCGCCCGAGGCTTTGCGACCTGGATCCTTGGCTTTGCTTCCGGCCCATCCCTCAGCCAGGTGGAGGTGGAGGTGGTGGTGGTGGTGGTGGTGGTTCCCCCCATCCTCCAGGACGTGAGAGAGTTTGTAGGTGATGAGATGCGACGGGAGCACCTTTGAAAGCCTCCAGCGCCCACCCCCGCTGCCGGCGACGCTCTCCCCGTCGTCCTCGTCCGGGGCTCCCACCAGGCTCCTGATCTCCTCCGCGATGCTCTGACTCAGGTACTGAGAGGCCTTTTTCCCACTGTAGTCCCTGATGTCCACGTCTGCGTCGTAAGCCCCCACCAGCAACTTCACCACCTCCACGTGCCCGTGCATGGCTGCCAAGTGCAGGGCGGTGTAGCCCCCGCTCGTCCTGGCGTTGATGTTCACCGGCAGCTGGTGCTTGCTGGCGAAGTTGACTAGCATGGCCAGGAGCTCCTGCCTGCCGTGCTTGGCGGCCCAGTGCAGGCAGGTGAAGCCGGTGATGAAGTCCCGCTTGGCCAGCAGGCCGGGCTCACAGGTGAGCAACCCTTCCAGGCTGTCCCACTTGCCGTCGGAGGCCGAGAGCATCCAGGCGTGCTCCAGAGGGTCCAGGGTCACCGAGCCCCCGCTGCTGCTCTCCTCCTCCGCGGACGACGAAGCCACCGACGCGCTGTCCGAGTCGCCTCCGCCCCGGCCGCGCCCTCCCCCGGAGGAGCTTCCGGGGCTGCTGCCCCCGGGACCCACGCTTCTCCTCAGCTGCGGGGAGCTGCCGGTCGCCAGGTCGCGAAAGTTCTGGCGAGCAGACCTCGGGGCGGCGGCGC